TCCTGTTATATTATACAAGTATGGGTGTGGGTGTGGGTATGGGTGATGGTGGGTGTGGGTGTGGGTGTGGGTGTGGGTGTGGGGTGTGGGTGTGGGTGTAGGTGTTTCTGAGTAGAAGAATCACAATCACACCCACACCCACACCCACACCCACACCCTTACTTGTATAATATAACAGGATCAACATGAACATCAATATAGAATCAAATAGGCATATAACTGAAGTATTCTTGAGATTTTTCGAAATTATATAGAAATTTTTGCTATTCGATAATTTTCTCAGTAAACAAATTAAACACTTCATCAATATTTATTTATTTATTATAAAAGAAAGGCTCATCGATAGAAAAAAAGTATGATTGTTTATCACAAAATTAGTTTACGATAATATCCATGTTGGTGTAAATGGTTTAAAATTCCATTTATCTGGATGACCAATATGCGCTACGCGTTTATCAAAATCCGATTGACTCCAAATAAATGGTACTTGTTGATCCGTTGTTGGACCAGCAATAGCAACAGGTGAAAAATGTTGCATTAATTCGTAGCTAGTAATCTTTAAAGAGAAGAAGTAACAGTAGGTTATCAAAGAACTAGGATAAAGATTGTCATATGTTGACTTCACGAAAGTTATTGCTGAAATCTGCTCATTCATAACAAGAATTTCTTTTTTACGTTAATATCCTTTCTCCAGAAATATTGATTCTTGCTAGGAGTAACTTTGCTCTGGGAATTGATCCGCTCCTAATCCTTACTTTAGCATCTGTAGCACCACATACCGCTGAATATGGTGGAGTACAATTACATTTCGATAACTCATCATGTTTAAAATCATTATATCTATTGTTTAAATAAAGAAAATCTATTTACGCAAAGGAAATTTTTTAAAATTAACCTCATCATATGAATCATAGTTGGAAGATCGATAACTTCACCATGATCACGCCGAAATATTTTTGCACGTGATGAATTTTGCCATGAATATAATGCCGGACCTTTTTCCTTAACCATTGCTTCTTCACCGGATATATTACGAAAATCTGGAAAATAAATATTATTATATGATGCCCAATAACTCTTATTATTTAACATTTCTGTCATATCTGCTGATTCATGATAGGTAGTCATTTGTTCGGCAACTGTTAAAAATCTATCGAATAGAAAAGCAACATTCAAATTTTATTATCTTTTATTTTGTTTTACCCAGGCTTTGGCGGTGTTCCTGGTGTAAATTGTTTAAAGTCCGTAATCATCCATTCATTATTATATGTTCCATCATTGAAAATGAAAAATTTGTCGACCCATTCTTTACCAGAAGTAGCTAGACGATTAGCAACTACGACTCGCATCCATTCGGGGATAGATATTGGATTAATGTTACGATATAAATCTTCATTATAATTATCAATGGTTGTTTCAATTACTGTTAAATTTGCTGGGCCTGTCATATAAAAATCATCTAAGAAATAAAAAAGAACCTTTTAGATCTATAATTGAATAAGAAATCTAACCAATTGAGTGAAGTGTTCCTGGATAAGATGAAAAAATTATATCAGAACCTGGAATAACGACACCTAGAGAAAAGAAAAAAAATAATGGAAGATTGAAATTGACGACTCCAACTGTTGGCAGCTGATGTTCGTTTCAATGGCATTGTGTAACGTTTAAGTACTTTTAACATTGAGTTATAATCATCCCAAGTAGCATGTGATACAAATACATCCTTATTATCTGGTAAAATCTGAATAAAAAAAACACATTTTTCTTTAATAATAGAATAATATTTTTTACTTTGATTAATGCTGAACAACTATCATGCCGTGAAATATTTTGAAAACCCAAATGAACAGCAATGTCATCAATAGATGCGAGTACTTGAAATAGGCTATAAACGAAATTTGTTAAAATATATTAAATAAACAAAACATTAATATTGATTACAAAAATCCAAGTGGATCTTCAAGTTCTTTTCTTGGTCCACGTGATTTATTTTGATATCCATCGATGAGACCATTCAATTGCACAAGAAGTAAATTTATCTAAAAAATCAAATATGTTTAAAAATAAATCTTTTCTTTTTTTTTTGCATATACTTGATGCCAATATTCATCATTAGGATGCGTGTCAATTTGCATATAAATCCAATTAAGTTGAGTTAGAAAAAAATTCTTTAGTTTTCCACAAAAATCTGTTCGATTAACACAAATATTAGTTATGGTATTTTGCCATTGCATACAAGTTAATTCTATAAAAACAAATATTGATTATTTAAAATCAAAAATCAAATCCAACCTTGTGTAAATTTTCCTTCAAGTAATCCAGCTGAATAAACTTGATCAATATTTGTTTGATTTTCTGCTGTTTTTATTTCTAATACGGACCAACCAGTTATATTATAAGTTTGATCCCAAGATCCAGTTGCTAAAACATTATCAGCATTACCATCGGGTTCTTTATAAGAATCTGCTAATGTTGCCACTATTTCATATTTTCCATTGGTTTTTAAAATATGACCGCGAAATCGATAGAGAAATAGATCATCATTTGCCAATGCTAAAGTAAGCGTGCTAAACACAGCAAACACTAAACACTTAGCAAACATGTTTTTATCTGAATGAAAGAAAGTGAGTTGAATGTTAACTGTTGATATATAGATTGTTAGTGTAAATAGATAAGAACCGAAAGATTAGACTTCCACTCGAACTTCGCTCGAGTAGAGAAGACAGGTGACTGCACGAGTTTCGAAAACTTCAGAATACGATTGCTTTTCTAGTTATTCAATGTAAGCGATGAAAATATTTTCTAAACGTTCGAGACTCCTTTACGGATGAGTTTAAATTACACAATAAAATAGAAGGTTTGCAAAACTACTTTAGATTCTGCATGAGAATAGAAAAACCGCGGAAGATTTCGCATAATAGTGTTGAGGCATACCAAGTTCATTGCTCAATGCTACTGAACCAAATGAGTTCTGTTCAGTAACACAGAAGTATGCAGGGTTCTGCCTGAGAGTGTTGAACCTTACACATTCCTCTCATCAATGATAACCACAAGATTGTTATTTGTTTTATTTATTCGAAATATGAAGATGGGATGAATTTGTTTTCTACTCATTTAATTGACTAAACTTGTTTAGTTGTCATTTGTTTCTTACAATGGAGGTATGTGTACTGTAGCATAGCTCCACAATGCATTTTCATATCAAATTAAAGCACTCACTGCTAAACTCACAAATTCAAAATGTGACATGCTAATGACCGACTTAGACCCGAAATAATCGAATTACAAGGCATATACAGGGTGCGTAAAACTGTTTTTCCAGGGGATAACACTATGATTTCAAATAGCATACATAACTATTTTAATACCAAATTAAAGCGCGTCAAAAATGGGATTTATTAGTACTAAATAGTAAGAGTTATCAAACCCTTTTAATGTCGAACATAGGAAATTTTCCGAAATTTGATGCTTTTTTGACATAGAAAAATCCAGGCGCCAGTTATTCAAACATAGATTTAAAACATTTTCTTTTGATATTTTTACATGGTTTGATAGAGCTCGTCGAGCTCTACAAAACTATATTTATTAAAACTTTTTTGAGCAACTTTTCTGTGATCAAAAGTTTAAAAAACTACTTGGAAAATCCTTAAAAAAATGTCAAATAACTCACTTTTTAATGAAAAAGCAGCCGTGGCCGGTTTCGTCCTTACTTAAGGAACTCATCAGACGACATGTCCAAATTCATCATTATCATTTAATGATAATAACGAAACCGCTTAATCTATCCCTATGAAAGATAGGGGAGACACAGTGTTTAGTATGGATATTCAATATGAACAAGCAGCCGTCTGATGAGTCCCTTAAGCAAGGACGAAACCGGTCACAGCTGCTTGTTCATATTGATCATTTTGATCGTTTTTTATCTTGAGGAGACTAATCAACAGAAATTCGATGGATAAATTAGAAATAAAAACAATCATTTTGATTCGATGCATTTTATTAGTTTCCGGGAAACTCATTTTACTGCAAGGACAGGTGTAAGAGATTTCCAATGGCCGCAATGGACATAATGGCCATAATGGCCGTAATTGACATAATGAATAATGTGGCCATATTGACTGTTATACACGATCTCGTGCGATGTTCCATTAGGCTTTGCCGCTGAAACTCCTTTCTCCGCACCCATATCTGCTGCGATGTGATGTGTGTTGGTTTTTTAGAATTTAAGCATTTTGAATAAATGTAAGAGCTCCATATCTTTGATGATCATATCCAGTACGACGATTATGTCCATTATGGCCATTACCACCATTACGGCCATTACGCCTATTTTGTCCATCGGCACCTTCAACGGAAACTGAATTCAGTTTCCGGAAATTGATCAGTGTCCGGAAAATAAATGAGTTTCCTGGAAACTTATATAACGCATCATATGATCATTTTCTTGTTTTAGAATATTTCCGATTTTATTATCATTACATTGGACCATTGATCTATCATTGTTAAAGGCCTCCAACCTCAAGAATGTACTATAACTTCCGATGGACCGATTGAGCTGAAATTTTCCGTGCATGTTGGTTACGTGTAGAAAAAGTTATCACCAACTTTTCATCCAATCAAAGTTCTTTGTTTGCAAGAAAAATAACCGAGAAGGTGTGGGTGTGGGTCTTCCTTTCCCAAATCTACGCCCACACCCACACCCACACCCACACCCACACCCACACCCACACCCACCCATACCCTTCATGGATTCGTTGTGGGTTGATTTGAATAAACGACATGTGCGTATCGAATACAATTATTTTTGTCTATAATGCAGTAAAAGGGAAACTTTTCAAATTCGAATAATTTCACAATAGTCAAATAGGAAATTTCCAATATTTCTCAGTAATTACAAATGTTACCGATATTTATAGGGTAGATGATAATGTCTAGCAATTTCACAGTAATTAGTAAGAATAGATCGACGGTGAACGCAAAATTGTTTTATGTACGGTGTTATTTTCTGAAATGTGCATGTGAGTGTTGAATTAAGATCCTGTTCAACACCCACACCCACCCTGTCAAATGATAATATTGCTTGTTTGCTTTTTGTTTACTATAGTCATTGCATTAATAATCGATGTTAAAAAAGTAAATCAAATGTGAAAGCAGATTAGATGCAACGATGTATTTTCCAATATGCATAGATGAGTAATATAGATACTGGATTCATCCATGGAGAGATAAGAATAATGTTAAGAGAAAAATTATCTAAAAGTTTGTGTTGGAGACAGCTATCACATAAGAGTGTTTTTTCCTTTTTTTCTTATTGATACGATGATATCATAAAAAAACCAATTGAGTATATATATAATAAGAATACTATCTGTATTTCTCATGACAATGTGTAATGGTGTCTAAGTAGCTTCGGAGTAACAGTATGGCCAGAAAAAAAATACAAGAAACTAGAGGTAAGTTGAGTTCGCTCAAGCTTTTCTCTGATGATGTTGCGATTTGTCGTCACTATTCACAGTTCTTAGCAAAATACCATGCATCATTTTTTTTATATATTCAATTATTTGAATAACATACTGGGCTGTTCTAATGAAATAAACGAAAATTGTTCATCTATACGTTTTATTGTATTCAACATAATATGAATGTTTAATTATTTTTAATCATATTTTATAATAGATGGCTTTATCTTTAAGAAGAAAGAAAATATTCTTTAATTTATTTTACAATTATGATTTATTTTCAGATTAATATTTCTTAGACTCGAATAAATATTCTATCAATCAATATATCCTGTGAAAACAAGGTAAGTAACATGAATTTTTCTTCCACTGAAGAATCGCATATTCCTACCGTGACTTTCCGAATCTGTAAAAATATTGCTTGAGTCCTGCGGGAGTAGAGTGAATAGGATGTATGTCTCAAAGAAGTAGTAAAAAGTTTAGAAAATGTTGGCAGTTTTATTGACTAAGAATAAATAATTTTCAATCATTAAAGATGGAAGTACAAGTGATATACGAACTTTCTACTTTTCCACCCTCTACTTAATGAATTTAGATTGATTGAATTTTTTTATGATAAAAAGAAACCTTTTTATACGGTGTACTTTACAATTAGGAAGTCTTCAAGTCGGAAGTGAGTCACTTCTATAGGGTTTCACGGAAGTATGATACATGTTTACATATAAATATAGGTTTCATATGACGCACTTAAGAATGAGAGAGTCTATTTTTTGAAAACAAAATGCAACTTGCCAGATCGATATTCACTGATCGTGATAAATATGATAAACATGAATGTGAAATAATGGATGTATATTCTATTGAGATAGTGTTTTCGATCTTATTTTCTGGTTGTTTTAGAACAAATTCTGATTTTGTTTTATTTGACTTGTGTAATTCAAAGAAAATCGAGAATGAAGTACTTTAAAATTGTATTAAGTTTTTTAGAAAAGTATGAGATGGTTTTCCCATGAAGCCAATGAGTAAGTTTTAAATAAATGTAAATGAAACTGAAGAAAGCAAAAACCAAGCGAAGCTCAGTTCTGCTTTGTTCAAAAGCAAACTTTTTTCTAATTTTCTCTTTCTAATATATATGTGTTAACATCCAATGTCAGATTGAAGAAAATTTTTTAGCTGAAATCTCAATTAATTCCTTGATATATGTTGAATTGAAATCTTTATTGGTGAAATGTGTTGAGACAACGGTATTTCAGATATTGCAATCATCAATGTAGGAATTAAGTATGGATTTCAAAAACTTACGGATAATTATCGGCAAAATCTGCTATTCTATAGAAACTTATTCATAACTTCCTGAGTCATATTTTAATTTCTCCATCGACACTTGTATTATTTGGGATATCATTGCTTCTGCACAACTCTCCCAAG